CCCCTGCTCCCCCAGCACCCCTAAACAGCAGAGACTCCCCCTCATCTCCTCATCCTGCACCTCCAATGGGTCACCGCAAACATCCCAGTTCTGGGCAGTGGCACCTTGAAAGGGAACTGGCAGGGGTTTGGGTGCGTTTTGGGGTGAAACTTGGCTTTTTCTGTTGTTGAGGAAATACATTGTTTTCTCCGGAGGTTCCTATCGCTTTTCAAATGGGGAGGAGGAGCATTGCCAGGTTGGATTTAGCCTCCTCTAGTCTCTCTCCTCCATCCCTGATTCCCACAACCCCACCAAGAAGCTGGGGCTTGAAGCACAATTTTTGTTATTATTGTTTTTTACTTCCGAGCTTTGCTGGGTTCTCTGCTGCTGCTGCTGCAAACAAAGTTTTCCAGCAACTCTGAGAGAGAGACCCGTGCGAGGGGCGCAGCTGGGAGAGGAACAGGGAGGGCGGTGGGAGCCAGAAACCTCTGTTTGTGTTAAAAAGAAGGGGAGAAGCAGACGAGAGAGCTGCCCACTTTGCCTGGGTGCCACGGGGTTCATCTTCAGGCTCCAGCATCCCCCAAACGCGGGGCTGCCCGGCCCCAACGGTGCAAACATCCCAAACGCTGAAACAACGCTGTTCCCGCCGCAGCATTCCCAGAAAGGGCTGGGAATGTATGTTTTCCAGGAAAAAAAAAAAAAAAAAGAAAGAGAAGAAGGGGGGTGGGAAACCCTCTCTGCATTACATTTTGGTTTATTTGACTTAGATTTTTAAGGCCCTGTCTCATGCTCCGTGTCTCTCCGATTTCCCAGCAAAAGCTGTAGTCAAAACAGCGAGAAGCTTAATGTAATAACTGAGGGGTTTTTACGACGTGGCCCGAAGCCCAGCCCCGTAATCCCTGCAGAACGGCTGCCCCTCGCGTCCCCTCGTCTCCCCAGACAGCGTGGGAGCAAGACGCGCTGTGCAGGAAGCTGGGAGAGGCAGCCTCTCCCTGCCCTTCTCCCTCTGCTGCAGCCAGCAAAGGGAAAAATAGGATTTTTCCCCCTTTTTCTCTGATACGGGAAGGCAGCAAACCCTGCCGGAGCTGCCCACCCTTTGTGGCTGAATGCAATTCACATAGTGGCCGTGCCTCAGTTTCCCCACCAGAAAATGAGGCTTATATATGGCTGGGGGGATTGGAGGACCTCCCTAATGCTTTCGGAGGAGGTGAAGAGAAGGAAACTGGGATCGTGCCACCGCCTTATCTACAGTTATTCCTGGAATCTGATTAAATGCTATATATAATGAAAGCTGATTAAATGCCACCGTGCGATAGCGCCGGGCGCGTCCCGGGGCCTTGAGGGACGGATATGGCCGGGCTGGGTCGCTCGATCACGTTAAACACTCAACCTGCAGTTCCCACCCCCTAATTCCAGCTTTTTTTTGTTTTAACTTATCAGTAACTTCATCTTCCCTCCAGCCAAATCCCCCCAGCTCGTTGCACGGCGAACCAAAACAAGCGTATAACATTATAAAGCCGTAAGCCCTGTTATTGTTCCACTCCCTTAGTAAATAACTTCACCCTTTGCTGGGGAAGGTTACCAGATCCAAGCTGTCACGGGCAACATTTGGCTTGGCGAGGTGCTCCAGCCCTTGGCTTTTTTTGCCAGACCTCTTCCCCTCTCTGCAGCATCTTCGGATTTTGTTTTATTATTTTTTTCTGTCGTTGTCCGGGCTTGAGTTGTCGGTAGCTGCTCACTTTGCTGCAAGGAAACACGGCCACGTTGTTTAGGAAAAAAAATAATCAGAAAAAAAATCTTAGAAAGTCTGTCGGTCTCTAATAGTCTGTCGGTCTCTAATCGAGCCAAGGAATCGCTAGTACTGCTCTGCCCAGGGGAGTTGGGATGACTCCGAGAAACCCGTAATGTGCTGTAGCTATTTTAGCTCCTCGGCTCCCTGCTGGAGCCCAGCTCTGGCTGGAAAGACGATGGCTCTGTTTCTGGGTGATGGACCCACGCTTCTCCATCCCATAAACGATGACAATCAATGGTGTAAAAGCATAAAGCTGAAAAAAAAAACAAAACAAAACAAAAAAAAACAAAGGAGAAAAAATTTGAGAGAGAGGGCAGGAAGATGCGCTGCTGCCCACGGACCCTCACCCGGGGCTGGGGTGCTCAGTGGGCTTTGCCTGGGGTGGCCGGTGATGACTCTTGGAGCAGGGCCGAGGTGGTGGCACTCGTGCACCGGCTGCTTCTCCAGGGCAGGTTTCTGGGGATTTAGACCATGGATTTGGGACCTAGGTGGGCAGCGATGCTCCTGGGAGGCTTCCAGGAGGAAGGCTGGGGCAGCGACGAGGGCACTGGGCTGGGGAGGGGGTGATGCTTCGGCTTTGTGCTGGTGGCCATCACCCAGAATCACCCCAGAGGTGACCCTGGATGTTGTCCAGACCCCCCAGCTCTGCCTTTTCCCCCATTTCTCTCTTGGTGTAGCTGCAGAGAAGCTCCCTCTCTCAGGGACTTGCATAGTCTGTTCGTGTGCTCACCAGGTCTTCTCTTTTCCAGGTCCACCGTCCCATGGAGAGCGGGTCACCCCACACTGGCTGCTCAGGGGCCGCCCCAGACGAGCCGTCAGTCTGGATGAAAAGGTGAGGGCAGAGACGGTTCCTCCCCCTGCACTGTGCAGCCAGGTCCTGCACCCAGAGGTCTTCATTGGTGGGACCCGCATGGAGATGTTGAGTTTGCAGGATCTGTGAGCAGGACATTGAGTTCATAGGACCCATCACCCTGTCCAGGTGATGAACAGGGAAAGCAGAGGGTTCAACAGCAAGTCAATGGAGCGTGGTCTTAAATATTGGTCAGTAAGAAGGATGGGCCAGAGCTATAGGGTGAGTGGAGAGGAGTTGGGCACTTTGGAGAGAGGAGATGGAGGTGGTTCATCAGAGTGGTGGTTTGGCCAGGATAGACAGACCAACAGTATTTGCTAGTGGGAAAGTGCTGCAGGATTTACGAGTGATGTTCTTGGGAAGGCTGCAGAGAAGCTGGTCATGGGCTGCATGGCAGAGAGGACATCTCTTCCCAGGGTTGTTCTGGTGGCCCTCCCCGCCGCCCCCACCGTCTCCAAATCCACTTTATGAGATGCTTGTGGTGACCCTTGCCTGGGTTTGGCACCTTGCCTGGCTCTGGGG